TCATCTTTGGTTGAGCAGGGCTGTCACACTTGGTAAATTTGCCCTTTGAAGAACCTCTGCGTGGGTGACTTTATCTTGCCATTTGGTGTTGAGTGTGTGGTGTAAACAGCGTAGGTGGAAACTGTTTAAACTTTTCTCCTGATGAGCATAAGTTGCCCATGTTTCCCTGCCATACATGAGAGGGCTGAGGACCCAAGCTTGGTACATTAGCATTTTGGTCTTGATGGTAAGCTTTGAGTTGTTCCATACTCTTTTAGTTAGTCTGCTAAAGGTGGTGGTAGCCTTTCCAATGCGAACATTTAGTTCTTCATCCATTGAGAGGCTGGTGGTTACTGTAGAACCTAAATAGCTGAACTTTTGGACTACTTCTAGATGGTTTGCATTTAAGGTGATTGAAGGATCTTGTGGAATCCCCTGTCCTAATACAACCGTTTCTTAATGCTGATGGTAAGAGCAAATGCCTGACAGGCACTTGAAAGGTGATCCATGAGTTCTTGTAGCAGATCTTCATCGGGGGCTACGAGGGCAGCATCATCAGTGAATAGAAGTTCCCTGATTAGCACCTTTTTGACTTTGGCCTTTGACTTAAGTCGGGACAGGGTTGAAGAGTTTCCCATCTGATTTTGTGTGGAGATACACTCCATCTTTCATGTCCTTAAATGCACAGTTCAAGAGTACTGAGAAGAAGATTCCAAAGTGTGTAGGGGAAAGAACACATCCTTGCTTCACTCCGCTTTTCATCTCAAAGATGAAAATACACTAAAATAAAATGTGCTATTTAGTCATTCCACAGCTTGAACGAGAAACAATTTTCTGCCTAGTGTTCAAACCCAAAGTGATAGGATTTCTTGGTTCTTGTGTAATGATTGATTAGTCCCATGGAGCATACATACAGATCTTCTCCTTTTATTTTTCTTTTCTCCCCCTCCTTCCCACATCACACTTCCAGAAAAATGCTTTCCTCCTTTATGTTTGGTTGGTTTAAGCTAACTGCTTGCTACTGTACAAATTTGCTCTGTGCTCTGTATGTTCATCTGAGATTCTGTACAATAAGGAGATTCCTGTGGAAGCTATTCAGAGTAACTGGAGGATTTGTCTCAAACACTAAACTAAAGCAGCTCCCCAATAGAGTTTTTGACACATATATTCAACCTATTTGCTGCACACCATGTTCTTTCACAAAATGCCCAGTAACTTAAAATGGAGTTATGGGCTGTGCGTGATGCAGCACTGGTGGCACATTTGGCATCACATCTGGTGCATAATGTGGCATGGAATTGGCTAATCTATTTTTCATTCTGCAAAGGCTGTAGCCTATGCATTTTAAGATTTTGAAAATTATCGGCGCCAACCCCTGCCTGCCCCCAAAATGCATGAAATGGTTCTGCAACTTTAAGTAAAGGTTACTCCTGTAACAACTAGAAGATACAGAATTTCTGTAGTGCATACTATGGTACTTTAAAAAAAAAGATATCTGTGAAGCTCTTTTAAGATATTTTAGTTTTCTGATAGGGGAGAGCAAAAGGAAAAATCTCTTGCTTCAAATTTTGTTAATTAAGTATAGTCACACTGTATTGGACAGGGTTTAAAGAGAAATGTAATGCAGCCTAGAACTGTTAACAGATTAGTTAACAAGGGAGTACAGTTGATATAGCCAATTTTAAAAAGTAGCTATTTTAAAACTTTAATACTTGAGTAATATTTCACTGTGATTTAGGATGTTTAGAATTTTTTTCTGTTCAATATTGTTCTTTCACAACATGGGTGCAGTTCTCTGATACTCAGCCTCGAGAGTTTTTTTTAATATATTGTTTGTACATTTTAGCTGATCTCAGCAAAAGGACATTGACACACCCGTTGCCAGAGACACAACAGTTAATCCAAAGATTACATTTGATCTAATTCTATTTGACATTCTCACTGGGGGCTCATACTTACAAGAGGTAGTGCTGTAACATGAAACTACAAGAAGGGTATTTTGTAATGAAGAAGTTAGCTTGAAACAGAGTGAAAGAGGATTTAGGGGATTAAAATCCACAGAACGAGCATGCAGCTAGCTAAAAATGCCATGTTTGAATTGCAGATAAAATTATGCATTACTACAACACCAGAGACTCTCATGTCAATTCCTCTGGTGTAACTCAATTCAAGATGATGGAGGAATTTTTTATTTACACTGGTATAATTGAGATGGGTGTCTGTCCCTTGCTTTACTGATAAACTTTATTTCTTTCCCCTCCTGTCTCTAAATCCATTTTTGAAGACTAGGGTTAAATCCCAAACTCTCTGAATTTTAAAAACTTGCCCCAGGTGATGGGGTTGCAATCCCACCTAGGCTGTTTACTGATTCTGTACCAGGGATTCAAAATTTTTAAGGATTAGACGTTCAAATTAGTGCACATGGCCCAATTCTGTGGCCAGCTATGCCAGCGCATCTCCATTGAAGACAGAGCAGACTTGGATTATTGTTTTTATTTATATAACCTATTTGCAGCATTAACAGTTACATTTTGTGAGTCTCATGATATTTGGAATTCTATTTAAAGCCCTGAGTCCTGTGAGAATTTCAGCTTTAATTAAAAAGGAAACTTCTAGTCCTCCTAGTTGCAGAGGAAAGCTTGAAAACACGACCCAAGTACAACGTAAAGGCTCAGAAACCAGAAGGCAAACAAAAAGAACCTCAAATGTATTATTTTAAAATCATCTTATTCTTAAGCCTCTTTCATAATTTTGGGGGGACCTAACTCATGATTTTTTAATGTTGGGGTTGGAATGCTGTATTTGTTCACTGACTAAGCAAATTAATAGAAAACAATGTTTTTCAAACCCACACCACTCTGACACATTTGAAGAAATGTGATTTACAACAAGCAGAATCAATGCATTGGTGGCTACTTGTGTATCCATAGAACAGGATGAATTGCTTATCCTGTGTATGGGGTGGCAATTACACGGCCAAATTCTGGCAGAGCACTTTCCATATGCACTCACCAGGATATCCATGATTAGCAAGGGGGGTGCAGGGCACAAGTTATCCACCCCAATCATGGATCCCCCAGATCTGTGGACAAATAGATCTGTAGGCTCCCCACAAAGGAGCCAGACCTGATCCTATTTACACCAATGTAAATCTAGAGTCATCCCAACTGAAATCAGAATCTGGCACATGGATTTTTCTGGGACAAGATAAAGGGGTCACAAGGGATGTGGGCCATATGTTTATGTGTGTAAACCACCTGACTCAGCAGTGTCAGCTATCAAACCAATACTAATGCACATAGTTTATTTGTGGTCCTAGCTTGGGGGAGGCCTTGCAGGTGGCTGCCTTGCACATTAACTTGGCTCTTGCAGTATTTATGTGTACCTATTTTATGGATGTTTATGGCTTGGGCCATACTTTTCCCTAGAGCATTGGAAAAACACTCAGACCAACAGCAACTCCTCCTAAGCACATGTATACAAAACTGAGAGTTTGATTCTGCTCTCTGCTGTGCTGTTTGTAGGCCTGTGTAACTATTAATGTTAATGGCAGTTACGTGCGGGAAGAGAGAGGAGACTGAATATTCATTGAAGTCTGAATTTCCTGGCTTTGTAATGTTTATGACAACCTAGGAGTTAGTCAATTGTTTTTTTGTTGTGGTCTGTTAATTTCCCAGTTTTTACTGCAGTTTGCAAAGAATAGAAGAAGTCACCCAGGAGTATTATGGATGAAACAATAAATTATAATGGCTCCTTAGAATCTCTGCAGTAGATGTGACTTTGCTGTTGGCTGTATATAGGTGTTTTCTCATTAACTGAGGTCTACTTTGTTTCCTGTTTTTAATGGATGAATTCCTGAATATTTTTCATGTGACAGTTACATGCACTTCAAATTTAATTTAGGAAACACTTATTTAAAATTAACCCCCCAGCCTGTAAATATTTATTTTGATATGTCTACTCCTTTTGAAGACTTTTTTTATTTCTCTGATATCCCGAGCTAAATCCTTCCTAAATACTTACTTAGGTCCTTTAAGAAACTTCTGATTTTTGAGATCAGACTTTCACAATTCTAGCTGTGTAAACCCTGGGTAGTTTGTGGATTCCTGATCCAAGTAACACAGTCCAAAAATCCTCATGGATTTTTTGTTGAGAAACATTACTGAATAAGCAGAGCAGCTGATTTCTTTAAAATCTTGCTATCTCTCCTGGCATTAGTTTACTGTGTATTTTGCTTTGATAAATGAAATACCAAAAGCAATGAGCTAATCCCTTGCTACAGTTCAGTTTTTAAAGTCAAAACCATAAGAATGATATAAGCAGAGTAGATAGCCAGAGGGCAGGACCTTCTATTCTTTGCACACACTGCTCCTGGTGAGGAGGAGTGGAGGGATCAGGCCCATCTGGAGTAATAGACAATGAGACAACTTGTAAGCAATGATTTGCTTGTAGTGAGTTTTCCAACTGTTATGGAACTATTGGGGAGAAATAGTGTTTTAATGGCTGCCATAATAATCATCTATAGAAATGAATGATAAAAGTATTCAAAGGGTATGTTTACACTGTGATTAAAACATGGCACCGCATCTCAGAGCCTACGTCAGCTGACTCAGGCTTGCGGCGCTCAGGCTGCAGAGCTAAACGTAGCAGTGTAGACATTCCGGCTCAGGCTGGAGCCAAGGCTGCGAGACCTGATAAGGGGGAAGGATCTCCAAGGCCAAGCCTGAGCCTGAACATCTATGCTGCAGTTTTATAGCCCGAGCCGTATTAGCCCAAGTCAGCTGATCTGGGCCAGCTGTGACTGTGCTGTGGGTCTTTTATGGCAGGGTAGATATACCTTAAGTATGGTAACAGCAGATCATTATTAAGAATACTGTATTTCCTAATATGTTCCAAAAAGAAATTGACATCATGTTTCAGCTCTATTGCTATAAGGACTTAAATTCATGGCAACACTTAAAATATATATAGACAGTGTGGAGTAGGAGAGATCTAATTAAACCTTTTTTTTCTTGGTCAAGAATTACTGAATTGATTGGGTACCACCCAGAAGAGCTACTGGGCCGTTCTGCATATGAATTCTATCATGCCATGGACTCCGAAAATATGACTAAAAGCCATCAGAACTGTAAGTCATGTTGATATGTCCTTCACTGTACATAAAACACGGTATGCATGTACCTGATTAACAAGCTGCAAACATAAAGGCACATTGGTGTGTTGTTGAGTTCTTGTGTATATCTTGCATGTATTCTGTGAGAGAGAAATGCAAAGGGATTGCACTAGTGCTTCAAAGTGAGACTTAAGTGATGCATTGGCCTTTTGCTATGTCCCGTTGAAGCCCCATGGCTGGCCCTTTAGATGAATTTCACTCTAAATTAGAAACAAAACTAGTTCCATTTGCAGGATGTTGATTCTAGGACACACCCTTTTTTTCTAAGTGAACTCATGATACCAGATTCAGTTGAGAGGCTGAAAAACTGGATAAGAGCAAGCAATAAATATTGGGAAGGAATAAATAAGAATAAATGGTCAATTTCAAGCATGGCAAGAAGTAAATAGTGGCATACCACAGTTGTCAGTATTAGACACAGGTGTCCAATATAATAAATAGAAAAAGTTCTATTAAGTTATCTTGTTCAGTGTCTTTCTCTCTTTCTTCCTGTCCCCATCACTTTACTTCTTTTCCCCACCCAAAACAAATAGCTTGGAAAAAACAGAAATATTTAGGTTAATTCGGAGTAGGGAAGATTGGGGGGAAACTCCAACAGGACCTAATAAAATGAGATAGACGGAAGATGACATTCAGTATACAAGGTAATATATATTGGGAGGAAGGGTTTTTTTAACGGTTTTTATACTTAGTTGGGTTCCATATTACCTGACATGGTCAGCTAAATGTTGGCATCTGCTCAATAGACAATGGTGATCAAAAGGATGGAGAATTATATGGAAACAAAGTATAATGCCATTGTATAAATCAATGCTTCACAGTGAATGTTGTGTATGCTTATGACCATCTCATTTCATTCCTGATATGATCATTTTGAAATGATCATGAGAGGTCATAGAATATGATGAAGCATTGATTGGGGGTAAGGGAGTTCCATAGGAGGAGAATTTTTAAAATACCAAAGATTATTTAGTAGAGAAACACACGTGAAAGGAGATATGCTAGAGATATATAAAATAAAAGATGCAGACTACCACTCTTGTTTGTTTTATCCTATAATATCGTAACAAGGGAGCTTTCAATGAAACAAGCAAAACAAGCAAAAACAAGGGGTGAAAGAAACAATTTTATATGACATAAAATTAACCTGTGGCTATGCTGATGGACGATACTATTGAGAAACATCGCTTAGTAAGATTAAAAAATAAAATTATCTGCGTGTTCTCAGTACCATTTCCTTCATCTTCCTTCCCTTGCTCCTGCCTTATTTTTTGTTACTTTTTCCCTTAAATTAGACAGTAAGATCTTCTTGTGCAGTGCTTAATACAATGAGGCCTGAATCCTGACTTCTAGTTGCTGCTATAATGCAAATAATAATGCCATTACATTAGCTAGCTTAGAGAAATACAAAGGTGCCAAATTCTCATGCTCCAGGATATAACAGTTTGCACCAGCTGAGGGCCAGGAAAAAACCCTACCAAGATGATATAATTGCTCAGGTGTCTCCTGTATATGGCCTCTCTTGCAAACAGGATACCGAACTAGCTGGACCATTTTTCTGTTCCCTTGTGTCATCTCCTGTGTGCTCTGCGTAAGTGTTTTTTACGTCATAGTCATTTTCACAAAGTGTCGATCCAGTTCTGTAGTTTTCTAACAGCAGTTCACAGGCTCTTGGGAACTTTACTGAACTATCCAACATGCTGCAGCTGATGGCTCCATATACAAATTAAAAACGACATAATGAGCTATTTGAAGAATGTCATGTGTATAATTTAACCATATGAATGAATTTTGGAATACTAAATTCAACCATAGTTTATGGTTTCCACAAGGAAAATAACAATAAATAATAATTAATGGAGATAGCCCATCTCCTAGAACTGGAAGGGACCTTGAAAGGTCATTGAGTCCAGCCCCCTGCCTTCACTAGCAGGACCAAGTACTGATTTTGCCCCAGATCCCCAAGTGGCCCCTTCAAGGATTGAACTCACAATCCTGGGTTTAGCAGGCCAATGCTCAAACCACTGAGCTATCCCCCCTGACCAGTTATAATCAAATTAGTATATAAAACGCTGAGCTGTCTTTTGGAGGTCATAATTGCTGTCTTTGAAATATAAAACAAGCTGTTGGTAGATGAAATTAACTACATCATTTCTTTTCTAGCTCTTTGCACTTACTTTAAATTTCTAACTCTATTTTTCTCGGTTAAAGGTGACCATTAACACTAATCTCCTAAAGATTAGGCTTTTGACTAATATATAAATATAGATTTTTTTGTGACTGTCTGTGCATTGGAGTTGGCATTTCATAGCAATATAATGAAGGCCCTGCATGTGTCTACCAAATGCATTTGCAGTGAAAGGCTCAGTGATGTTGTTGGGGCATCCAGTGATAGACCACGATCATCTTTTTCCACATCCCTTTCAGAGTGATTTTAACTTTTTTAAAGATGATAATAATCAGGCTCAGCAGGCAACTGCATAACCAGAAAGGCGGGGGGGTTACATTAGCCCTAACAGCAGGGGTTCTAGACCTCGCCATCCCCAATAAGTTAAGTACTCAGTTTTTCATTAATAAGAATGTTTGACAGCAGAGATAGTCATCTGTGGTGCAGAACAATGTTAGTTTTAATCAGAATGTTTTGAGGAAGCAGTTGTATTTGTTCTCCATTAGCCTGCTGCTGTCAATCCATTCATGTGGCTTTGTCTTTTTTAAAAAAATTTTGAATTCCCCAAAACAAATTAGGTCTTTTACAGGGGTGAGCAATTAATGATATTGTCTCCGCTCAAGCAAGCTATGTATTCTGAGATATCTGATTAGGAGGCATCATGAGCAATTGGTGGCTATGTTGCATTAAGTTGTTTTTAAATCCCAGAGATCAATAAAAGTAACCATCTACAGTTTATATTGAAATCGCACCAGAGAGGAAATAAAATAAGCCACCAGTGGAGGCTGCTTCTTGTTCTAACGGGGTCAGATCGACTCCATGCACAGGGCCAGCATAAAGCCTGTGCGTCACTTAAGCCCTCAACGTAGCGCCTAATCCAGAAGCATGTTGAAGTCAGTGGGAAGACCCAGAAGTGGTTATTTATAAAAAGAATCCCACTGCAGCCTTATAGGGTTACTCACAGCTGTGAGCACTACATCTAGTAATAACTGTGTAGGATCAGGCCCTATAATACTAAGAGTAGCCCCACAGTCTCTGTGTGGGGAAGCATATACACTGTATTTAGTCCCAGGTTAGCATAGCTGATGCATTCTGCCCTTTACAGGCATTGGCCCAAATTCTATGGTGATGTAAATTAGTGCAACTCCAATAACCTCAACAAGAGCTATGTCACTTTACATCACCAGAAAATTTGGCCCATTGCGTCTTGCTGAGGCAAATGCCTCCAGGCACTTCTTAAAGAAGCCCGTATGGCTGGGGCAATATGAATAGCAAGCCATGAACAATCAGCCACCTGGGAACCAGCAGGCCCTCATTGAACATGGAAGCCCTTGTGACCTTTTGAGAAACTGGGTGGATATTCATGAGTTATGTTCTGTGATTTCTAACACACATTGAGTAATCTAATATTAATAGATCAGATATAAGATGACACATAATTATCTTTTTTTAAAAGTTAAAACAAGATACAATTTTTTCTGGAGAATTCTCCTAGCTGTTTTGATCAATGCTTCACAAAATTCTTCTCCGACCAGAGCTGCAAAGTAATAATTCAAAATGCAAAATAAAAATAAAACTCCATGATAAATATATTAGACATCCGAATTTTATTTAATCTAACTATGCTTTCTACAGAAGACAAGTATAATCACACTATAATATACTCACTGATTCTGAATACATCAATGCTAACAATGTCATTTTACCAAACAAAGAAAAGAATAGAGTTCTAGAGCAGGATTTATTTTTCATTACAAGAAGGTAATCAACCACTATAATGAGGAAGGGGAAAAAAGTTTGAAGGTTGAATGAACAGACCTAAAATGAGCCTTTAAGATGGAAACAGAACTACTCCCCTGATTTACTGGTGACACCACTGACACACTTGTTGCAGTTTTACAATACTGTAATGTTGTTTTCAGATGAGGTAATGACCCTGTGCTGAACTAAACTGTAGTACTGTTTGTGTTCTTGGCTGCAAGTATAACTTCATATACAGTATAAGACTTAATTGGTTGTCATCAAATGCAAGATTAGAATTTAATTTTGCAGGGCTTAACATACCCACTCTTTTACCAGTTATGTGAGGAAGAGATGAAAATCTTTGTCTTTGCCCAAAAGTTTCACTGCAAAGCTATATTTTCCAACCACACACTTAATATTCTAGAACTATTTCCATTTAGGGCCTTCCCATTTTAATGTTTTAAATTAAAAACAATTGGAATTTTGCCATTGACTTCCATGGGGAGCTGGCTCTGGCCATCTGAGATATGTCAATGGGAAGTACATAGAAGTTTGACAGACCAAGTCAGTTGTATCATATTTTGCATCTATTTCAAATGTATGACAGCAATTAAAAAAAAGCTTTGTCAACAATTAAAGGCAACAAAAAGTAACTGAAGATAATATTTTTTTGTTTATTCTTCAGTGTGATGATCTAATTAATGTTGTATGAGATAGAGATGTAATATTTTGGTAACGTATTTAAAATAAAATGCTTTTAACTTTCTAACAACTTGGAAGTCAGACTGAAGGCATATGGCTAGATAACTGAAAGACAAAATTCAAGTGCATTAGTAATTTATAGTGTTGCTCCAAAGAAAGCGTTCTGCCACTCTTTGTATCAGAACATGATGTGCTCTGGGGGGGAAAAAAGATTAAAGCAGTAAAAAGCTTTCCTGAAATGTAACAGGCGCCCTTAATATGACTCTTATTGAAGAGCTGATGATTAGGAAGCCAATGTAATTATGTTTCACAAGCAGAGCAGAACAGTCTCTGAAACATACTAAAGGCAAAACCTTTTGATTTTGTGCCACACATTTAATCAAAAACATATTTAATCAAAAACAATAATCTTATATTTTGTCTAAATTAAAAAAGTCTAAATAAATTAAATGAAGGATAATGAAATATTCCTAGGGAAAAAAAACTTTAGAGACAGGAAGAGAAACACTATAAATGACCCACGAACACTTATAGTGGGGTTCACAAAGGTACGTAAGTGCCTACCCTGCATTGGAATCAAAGGGAGTTAGGCACCTAAATACCTTTGAGTACGCTACCCTTATTTTATTTCATAAATTTAATGGGCCCACTTCTGTTGTGGTTGTGCAGGAAAGACTTGTGCTTCAATAGTTTCTACAATGGCCACGTATATAGGATTTTTCCCTGTGCAAAGACTGTAGGATCAAGTCCAACTACAATTGGCCTTTAGTACAACAGTTTAATTGCGATCAAATAACGTTATTACATTTAAAAGGTGCTTAAAGGGGAAATTTTGCCAAAAGGGCCTGATTGTGCAAACTTTAATCCCAATGGTGAGTGCTTATGTGCTAGTATGGATTGCAATATTATTATTAACATGGATAGAAAGTTATTGTCAGTTGGGAGAAAGACTGTTACTTGAATGGAAGATACAGTCCATATTAGCTGCTTTGAGGAAAATGGAAGATTGACACCAAGTAAAGCATCCTAAAAACTTAAATTCTCAAATGCCAAGAACTCTACACTGAAACATCTTGCCTATCTCTGAGTACCATAGATATCTTATTTAGGAGATATATACAAGTATTTGTAAAGCATCCAGATCAAACTCTAAATCTGAACTGTACTTTTTTTGTACAATGTTTTTGTACAAACAAAGCTTGATTCTGGCTTTTGTGTGACCCCGGATGTTACATGGAAGTATTACATTGTCCTGTAAGCATTGTTTGACCTTCATCTAAGTCTTAGCTGGAGACTGGCAGGTTAAAAGGAAATATTACAGAGAAATAATGATGATTGCATAGGCCAAACAGCCAGAAAAGCAGAACAATTCAACTCTCCATTTTCTCTACTGACAAAATAGTACCACTAATAATTCTTCATTTATGTCACTTTGACAGCTTTGAAAATGTTTTTCTTTTCTTTCCCTTTTGCTGTAAGATCAATGTCAGCATAGTAACACCATGCCTCCTTATTTTCAACAATTAACAAAATATATCAGGAATGTATATCTGGAGTTGATGTCATAGATTCCAAGGTACGAGGAAGGAAAATATATACAATTTAGGCTAAGATTTTTTTTTTTTAAAAAGGGGGGGCACCTAATGTTGGGCTCCTAAGTTCATAGACACCTGAATAAAAAGCAACTGATGAGTGTTCAGCACTTTTGAAAATCAGTCCACTTCTTTAGATGCCTAAATATGGTCTGACTGTAGGCACCTATGCTTGGCCTTAGACTAGTCTACATACAGTATACATATGCAATCAGTAGCCACTGATTTTGGGCACCTAACTTGAACTCTCTCACATTGAGCCTCCAGAAGTAGTGTCCACTTTTGAAAATGTTGGCTTTAACATTTACACTTAAAAAATAAGATAATCAGACATTTACCAGCAAATAGCTTTAATTATAGTGCTGCCATGTTACATGACTAAAACTCAAAAGCAGTCTTACTGGTTTAAGTGGTGTGCTATGTTTATATATTGCATTCTTATAATGCTGCTACATTATTTATATTTTGTCCTATTTGATAGTGTGTGCAAAAGGTCAAGTAGTAACTGGCCAGTACCGAATGCTTGCAAAGCATGGTGGATATGTGTGGCTGGAGACTCAAGGAACTGTCATTTACAATACACGCAACCTACAGCCTCAGTGTATTGTCTGTGTCAACTATGTACTGAGGTAAGTTATACAGAACCCAAAAAGCGTTTATGAACATTTATGCTGTAACACAGGCAATTAGGGGAATTTTTGAAAGGTGTATTTTACTTCGATATTCTGAAACCAACTTCGCCAAGCAAGATAGCTCAAACACAACTGTTGGACTTTTTCTTTCAATAATGTCTATTTGATACAAAATCTATTGACACATGCCTGCAGAAGGCTTTTATTTGCATGCAGTAGAATTTCTAGTCTGTTGGGAGGACCAGATATAAAACCTGCATGGAAGATTTGGAATAATTGCTTGCTACCAGGTGGAGCAAAGAAGTTTTAAGCCTAATCTCTTGTAAATATCACCAGAAAGAAGTGCCGTATATACTCGTTCATTAGCCCGTTCGTTTATAAGCCGACCCCCCAAGATGGTTAGGTAAAAATAGCAAAAACTGTATGACCCTTTCATAAGCCGACCCTATATGTCAGGGGTTGGCAAACTTTGGCCGTCAGGGTAAGCCACTGGCGGGTTGGGACGTTTTGTTTACCTGGAGTGTCTGCAGGCATGGAGCCCCTCAACTCCCTGTGGCCGCAGTTCGCCATTCCCAGCCAATGGGAGCTGAGGGGTTCCATGCCTACAAACGCTCCAGGTAAACAAAACGACAAGGTATTAGATATTCAATTCAATGATTCCATAGAGTTTAAAATCATCAAATTTTGGTGTAGACCGGTTTATAAGCCGACCCCCCCACTCTTTGATGCATCACTTTTTTACCAAAATATTTGGCTTATAAACAAGTATATATGGTAGTTTTCCTCAAAAAAGTCAGGACCACAAAGTGATCACTGTTGGCAAAATTAAATATTGTGGTCATAGACTAGGCCAAAAACTGCAATCTTGTAGAGTGAAACTGATCTGGGTCATTACTATATTAATTACACACCTATAAAACTGGAGTAACAGTGGTGAATCATCCCCCAGAATTATTGAGCAACTGCAGTTTCTCTTTGCTTCAAATTAAGTTCTGGGTGCTCAGCAACTCCAGCTCCAGTTGTCTCACGTTAGACACCAAAAATTAGTGGCAGTTATGAAAATGTTGGCCTTTGCCTTAAAGTTGTAACAGTTCGTTTACTGTTTATACACTGACTTTGTTTTAGAGTGCAAAATGTCTAACAGATCTAATTGCCTTGTTAGTGAAATTGAGAAGAATGACATTGTGTTCTCAATGGACCAGACGGAATCTCTGTTTAAGCCTCACCTGCTGACAATGAATACTGTTTTTGATAATGGGGTCCCAGTGACTGAGAAGAGTGACTTCTTGTTCACAAAACTGAAGGAAGAACCGGAGGAGCTTGCTCAATTGGCACCCACACCAGGCGATGCCATTATTTCTCTGGATTTTGGTTAGTATTGTAGCATCAAGCAGCATGCAATAAAAAATAACCACAAAATACTTCTTGTTTTAACAAATGCAAAGAACCACAATGGGACTGATCTTGCTCTTCCTTGCACTTGGGAAAATCCGGTGTCACTCCATAGAAGTCAAAGGACTCACACCAATGACAAATTTCTGTGAGCCAGATGACAATCAGGCCTATTATTATTTTTTTATTTTTTTTGATTTATGCTAAAACCTTAGAATGTGAAACATGCACATGGCAACTGGGAGATGCTTGCTTGCTTATTTATTTATTTATTTGTTAAATCGCTGCTAATATGTCATAGCACAACAGAATTGTAAGGCTGAAAGAATGTGTCAATCTTGTTAATGTCTGTTCAGGAACACAGAATTTTGAGGAAGCCTCTATCTACAACAAAGCTGTTGTTTTGACTCTAAACAAACAGTGGCCAGTGGAAGTGAAGACCCATACTTCCCAAGGTGAAAAGCTGACTATGCCATCATTTACCGTGCCCCAAGTTGCACCAGGCAGTAGTACTCCAAGTGCAAGTAGCAACAGCAGCTGTTCAACGGTAAGAAAGACCTTTGAACTGAAAATTAAATTATCTAATCTACAAACTGCAAGGTAAATAAATGGAGTGTGATGTTTTGTATGTAACTCCCATCAACATCAGTGGGAGGAACATGTGTACAGTAGTGGTCTCGTACTTATGAAGTGACCGAAGTAACTATATACACATTGTACTGTATACACATTGAACAAAATAAAGAGGATCATAAATCGGGGCTAGCCCCTGCGCTTAATACCTTTGTCCCGGCCACCCTCGCACTAGTCTTCTTTCATTAAAACATCCTATGTACAGCTGCTAGACCAAGCCACCACTACTTCTAGGTGGATTAGCCAGTAAAAGGCTACTATTAGATAGTGCAGCCATTATCAATACCCCTTTAACAAAAATCCTGGCCTATTACCTTCATTTGTTCATTAGGTAGAAGCTGTAGCCATATTTCAGTGTTCCCAACTACTGGTACATGTACCAGTCCTGGCACTTAAGGCTTTTCAGGCTGGTACCATGGATTTCCTCTGTCCCTCCTTGCTCTGTGCTGGGCCTCAGTGAACTGCTGCTGTTTGCCATCCATTCATTTGTGTACTCTCTAACTGAAACCTTGGTTTGCTATGAACTAAGCTGGATGGTGCACAACTGAATGAGAGGCAGTAAACACTGCACTGACTGGAACACATGAGAGTTTAGTCTGATTAAACTAGCATAATTGCCCCCTAGAAGTTGGAAAGTGCTGACTTAGCATAGCCAGCAGGTCATTCCTGCAGGATGCCCATTTATTTTGTAAATGCTGGAAGAGGAAAGCCTGAGCCCCTGCTTACCCCTTTCCTCTTCAGAGTGATTTAAGAGGGGATGTCTCACATTGTCAGTTTAAATTTATTTTTACACTAGATCCATATGGTAGACCATTTCTATCATTATCGCATGCAACACTTTTCACCATTTCTTAGTGATAAAAGTAATAAACTTCTTCGAGTGCTTGCTCATGTTGATTCCATTCTAGGTGTGCGCACACCCAGGTGCGCGTCCGTCGGAGATTTTGCCTTAGCGGTACCCGTAGGGCCAGCTGTGCCGACCTCTGGAGTTAGGGTTGCCAACTTTCTACTTGCACAAAACTGAACAACCTTGCCCCACCCCCTGCTGAACCCCTCATCTGAGGCCCCGCCCTGCTCCACCCACTCGCTCTCCCCACCCTCACTCATTCATTTTCACCAGGCTGGGGCAGGGGTTTGGTGTGCGGGAGGGACTCTAGGCTGGGGGGTGGAGCTGAGGGGTTCGGAGTATGGGAGGGGGCTCCAGCTGAGGCAGGGGGTTGGAAGGGGTATGGGCTCCGGACTGGGGGTGCGGGTTCCAGGGTGGGGCCAGAAATGAGGAGTTCCGGGTGCAGAAGAGGGCTCCGGGCTGGGGTAGAGGTACGGGGGGGTGAGGGCTCTGGCTGGGGATGCAGGCTCTGGTGTGGGGTTGGGGATGAGGGATTTGGGGTGCAGGAGGGGGATCAGGGCTGGGGCAGGGGTTTGAGGCACAGAGGGGGGTGAGGGCTCCGGCTGGGGGTGTGGGCTCTGGGGTGGGGCTGGGGCTGGAAATGAGGGGTTTGGGATGCAGAAGGGTGCTCCGGAATGGGACCGAGGGGATCGGAGGGCAGGATTAGGATCAGGCCTGAGGCAGGGGGTTAGGTGTGGGTGCGGGGGTGGGGCTGGGGATGAGGGGCTTGGGGTGCAGGCTCCATGTGGCACTTACCTTAGGCGGCTCTGCTAGCTGCCCCATCCGCAGGCACCGCCCCCGCAGCTCCCATTGGCTGTGGTTCCCGGCCAATGGGTGCTTCAGAGCTGGCAGTTGGGGCGGGGGCAGTGTGCGAAACACCCCGGCTGCCCCTACGCATAGGAGCTGGAGGGGGGACATGCCACTGCTTCCAGGGGCTGCGCCGAGCCACGGCAGGCAAGGAGCCTGCCTTAGCCCAGCTGCGCCGCCGACGGGACTTTTAACAGCCTGGTCAGCAGTGCTGACCAAAGCCTCTAGGGTCCCTTTTTGACTGGGTGTTCTGGTCGAAAACCAGACACCTGGCAACCCTATCTGGAGTGCTGCGCTCATGTTGGATATATCAGGTGCCGCCGGCCCTACGCCCTCTCAGTTCATTCTTACTACCCATGGTGGTCACACATTAAGGGGCAGTGGCGGGTCTTCAAAAACTTTTGTCCCCGCACCCAGAAAGAGCAAGACATCTGCCTCAGGGCTCTCCTGATGGAGTCTTCCCTCCGCCTGGCTTCCAAGCCACCCAGACAGGTCACACCAAGTGCCTCGGCCTCTATGCACAGCGCACCGCCAGGACCCGACTCCTACTGGCACTGTTCACCTTTGCTAGTGCCGAAGAAAAAGGCCAAGAAGTGCTCCTGGGCATTCAGCAAGAAGGCCCAGGTGTCATCTACCAAGGGACTAGGACCTGCCCGCCAGTCTATTCCAGAGCTACGCAATCGTACCTCCCCAGCTGGGGCGCCCAGCCCCATTAAGGGTCCGCCACTGACTCCTGGGAGTGGTATGGGACCCACACTCCTGTCTGCACCTTCGTCATCCCACGCTCCCCCAGTGCAGAGAGAGTACAGGTCTCCACCTGCTCTGAATGCTACCCCGGTGCCGCAGGACCTGGCTAACGCTCCCAAAGAGGGCAAGCCCGCTGTTAAGACTCCTCAGGAGACAGGGGAACAACACTGGTCACCAGATAGAAGACATTGATCATCGCTGCCACATTGGGAATCCAGGGGCAGATCCCAATTGTGTCGTCGGTCACCCAAGTGAGCTTCCAGATCCCCATGGTGCTACTCTCTGGTGTGGGGTCGACGCTCCCCTTTCTATTCCCATCATCACTCGCTGTCTCAACGGTCATCCTCTAGGCTTCAGTCCTGATCACTAGCATGGTGGGAACATTCCCTGTCCCAGTACCAGTCCTTCCGGCACTGGTAGCACTCTCCACACTCCAGTTACCGTTGAGTTATGCCCAGGCAACGGTCACCAGTATCCATGACCAGCAAACAAACACAGGATTCGACTGCTCCTTCCCAGTTACCGGAAGGGGGTTCCTCCTGTGTGGAGGGCCAGTAAAGCCCGTCGCCATGGTCTCATGGGCATCACTGGGCACTGGTGCCCCTCAGTGGTGGCACCGCAATGGCAGCATGGCCAGTGGCTAGCGCAGTGGCCTTATTGGAGCACGTGGGGCGTACTGGTTGTGATGATGCCTCCTTCACAGCACTCCTCAGTGCCTGCGATGGAAGATCGGATGGTGGCTCCACCAGCATTGGACCTGGTACCGAAAGCCCGTTCTGAGGTCAGGGTGAAGGAACCTGTTCCCACCCCAAAGCCTCTTTCTGCAACAGTGGTCAAGACCCCAGCACCTCCACCGGAAGTCCAGGCTTCCTCGTCATCCCCAGACGAGGCGGTCACGGGACCTTCCAGAGCTAGCCCATCAGATGACAGGGAACATCAAGACCTTCTCCGGTGCGTGGCCGAGGACTTTAGGCTTGAGGTACAGGAGATGGCAGAGCAGGAGGACACCCTCTTCAACATCCTCTCACCCTCTACGTGTTCCCTGGCTGCCCTGCTTGTGCATGCGGGAGTCCTCAAGATGGCTAAGTCCTTGTGGCAGACCCACTCCTTCATCCCGCCCACCTCAAAACGGGCTGAGAAAAAGTACTTTGTGCCGGCCAAAAATTTTGAATACCTCTATACCCACCTGCCCCCGGGCTCACTGTTGTATTTGCAGCCAATGAAAAAGACAAGCAGGTCCCCACCTCCTCGACTCCCAAACACAAAGAGGCTAAGAAACTTGATTTATTTTGGAGAAAAATGTATTCCACCTCCAACCTGCAATTTTGGGTGGTGAACCATCAGGCCCTGCAGGGCTGGTACAATTTTAATCTCTGGGACGGTCTCAAAAAGTTCCAGGAATCCCTCCCTCAGGGTTTGGCCCAAGAGTTTGCAACTCTGGTGGAGAAGGATATGATGGTGGCCAGATGCCCCCTGCAGACTGCATGGAATGTGGTGGACTCGGCGGCAAGGGTGGTCACATCGGTGGTGGTCATGCAACATAGTTCCTGGCTCCAGATAGCAGGCCTCTCCCAGGAGATGCAGGCCTCGATCCAGGACCTCCCCTTTGACAGAGTTGGTCTGTTCTCAGATCAAATGGATGCCAAGCTGCACGTTTTGAAGGACACTAGGGCTACCCTTTGCTCGTTGGGCATGCACAGGCCACAATCAGCCAGGAAGCCCTTCCGGCCAACGCTCTGGTAACCTCGTCAGGGACCTACACGGAGAAGGGATGCTAGTTTCAGTCATCGTTGCCTTTCTTCCTCCCGCTCACCAGCCCAGTCTGGGGCCCCGAAGGAACCAGGGGGCCAGAAGTGATTGGTCGTGGATTACATCGGACCTCTGGGTCCTGGACATAGTGGCTCGGGGCTATACCCTGCAGTTCTTGGCTGTCCCTCCTTCCCACCCCTCCTTCCCACCCCCTCATTTTCCCGTCCCTCTTCAGGGACCCTTCTCACGAGCAACTCCTCATTCAGGAGGTAGAGAAGCTCCAGGGCTTGGAGGTTCCTTGGGACATGGAAGGATGAGGTTTGTACTTCCTAATCCCAAAGGCCAAAAGGGATCTGCATGGCCTCAACAAGTCTCTCAAGAAGTTGAAGTTCCGCATGGTCTCCCTGCCCTCCATCATCCTTTCCCTGGATCTGGCGGGCTGGTACACCACTCTCAACTTAAAGGATGCTTACTTTCATGTCTCCATATTCCTGGGCCACAGGCGCTTCCTGCGTTTATAGTGGCTGGGCGTCACTTCCAGTTCACAGTGTTACCCTTTGGCCTGTCCTCAGCCCTCAGGGTGCTCACAAAGTGTGTGGCGCTGGTAGCGGATTACCTGAGAAGTTGAGGTGTCCAAATCTTTCTGTATCTCAACGACTGGCTCATCAAGGGCAAGTCTCCGGAGCAGGTCCAACAGAGCCTCAATCTGGTGTGGTCCATCTGCAATGATCTAGGCCTGTTAATAAATGCAGAAAAGTCCACATTAATGCTGGTCCAGCTCATAGAGTTTATCGGAGCAGTTCTCGACTCCATGTGAGCCAGGGCCTTCCTTCTGGAAGTGCGCTTCCAGGCCATTTCAGACTTGATTGCCCACACGAAGAGCCATCCGCTTACCACTGCCCACATGTGCCTGCGACTAATGGGCCACATATCCGCGTGCACATACGTGGTCAGCCATGCCTGTCTTCATCTATGACCTCTGCAGGCGTGGCTGGCCTCAGTCTATATCCCCAGCAGGCACGCCTTGGACCGAGTGGTCATGGTGCCAAGCCATGTCCTCTCATCCTTGGACTAGTGGCTGGATCCCAAGTCGGTGCTGCAGGGGATTCCCTTCATGTCCTTATCTCCGTCCCTTACCCTGGTCTCGGACACGTCGGACCTGGGCTGAGTAGCCCATCTGGGTGAGCTCAGCACCCAGGGCCACTGGCTACACAGCAATCTGGCCTTTCATATCAACGTCAGGAAGCTCAGAGCAGTTCACCAGGCCTGCCAGGCATTCTTGCCCCACCTGAAGGGCAAGGTGATGCAGGTCCTGACGGACAATACATCAACAGGCAGGGCAGAGCTAGGTCTTTGGCCCTTTGTCAGGAAGCGCTCAGCCTCTGGGACTTTTGTGTGTGACATGCCATTCATCTGATAGCTGCCCACTTGCCCGGAGCCAAGAACATCCTGGCAGATCACCTCAGCAGGACCTTCTTCTCTCGTCACGAATGGTCGCTCCATCTGGAGGTGGTCAGCCTGATCTTCTGCAGGTGGGGGACTCCCCAGGTGGACCTGTTCTCATCCAAAGTGCCACATGTTCTGTTCTCTGCTGGGCAGAGACAAGGGCTCCCTGTTGGACACCTTCCTGATCCTGTGGTTGGGAGCGCTGATGTACGCCTTCCTGCCGGTGCCGTTAATCCACAGAGTCCGGCTCAAGGTAAAGCAAGACAAAGCGACGATCATCCTCATAACACTGGTGTGGCCTCGTCAACACTGGTTCGGCATGCTGCTGAGACTCTCGGCGGCTACCCTGCTGCAGCTACCTCTTCGGCTGGATCTGCTGTCCCAAAACCATAGCAACCTGCTGCACCCGAACCTGGAGTCACTGCATTTGATGGCTTGGCTGCTGCGTGGCTGAGTACGGACGAATGGGGGTGTTCTGCTGATGTCCAGCATTCCTGCTGGGCAGCAGAAAACCGTCCACCAGAGGTACATATGTGGCACAGTGGAAGTGGTTCACATGTTGGGTATCGGGCCGACACATTCATGTGGAAGAGGCCCCGCTGCAGGACATCCTGGACTATTTACTGCACTTTAAACATCAGGATCTGTCGCTATCTTCAATCAAGGTACACCTGGCAGCCATTTCGACGTTCTCCCTTCCACTTCAAGGCCAGTCAGTCTTCATCCATCCCATGACGGTGCGCTTCCTGAAAGGTGTGTAGCGCCTTTACCCGCATGTCCGAGACCCGGTCCCCCCTTTGGGATCTGAATCTTGTGCTGTCCAGACTCCTGATTCCCCCCTTCAAGCCCTTGGCTTCCTGCTGCCTCCTGCAAGGTCTCCTTCTTGGTCACTATAACTTCGGCCTATAGGGTGTCCAAAACCAGGGTGCTCATGTCAGAGCTGCCCTACATGGTCTTCTGTAAGGACAAAGTCCAGCTGTGTCCGCACCCGGCCTTTCTGCCCAAGGTCGTCTCCCAGTTCCACACTGGTCAGGAAATCATTTACCTACCAGTCTTTTATCCGAAGCCTCATGTGAAGGATGAGGAGTGCAAGCTGCATATCTTGGATGTCAGATGGGCGCTGACCTTCTACACTGATAGAATAAAGCCGTTCCATAAGTCAACACAGTTGTTTGTTGCTGTTGCTGACAGGATGAAAGGTTGCCCAGTGTCAGCCCAGAGAATCTCGTCTTGGATCATGGCCTGCATCCACTGCAGCTACAAGCTGGTGAAGGTGCCCCCGCCAGTGATCGTGATGGCTCATTCTACTATGGTGCAGGCATCGTCAGCTGCCTTCCTGGCGCAGGTGCCGATCCAAGAGATCTGTCAGGCCACAACCTGGTCGTCAGTCCCCACATTTCCGTTGCACTACACGCTGACCCAGGATGCTCGAGACTATGCTGGCTTTGGCAGAGCAGTGCTGCAGACTGCAAGATTGTGAACTCCGAACCCACCTCTGTTGAATCTGCTTGTGAGTCACCTAGAATGGAATTGACATGAGCAAGCACTTGAAGAAGAAAAAACATTTACCTACTTTCTGTAACTGTTGTTCTTAGAGATGTGTTGCTCATGTCAATTCTATTACCTGCCCTTGTGCCCCTCAGTCAGAGTTGTTGGCAGGAAGGAACAGAGAGGACATAGGGCTGGTGGCACCTGATATACCGAGGCATGAGCATGGCACTTCAGAGGGTGCCACAGGCGGCCCTACAGATACCGCTAAGGCAAAATCTCCGACAGCCACGCAGGTGGGCACGCGCACACCTAGAATAGAATGGACATGACCAACACACATTGAAGAACAACAGGTACGAAAGGTAGGTAACCATTTTTTCTGTTGGAGACTAGTGTGTGTTTATTAGAGTTGAGTAGAATATTTAGTTTGCGGAGATGCTGTAGACCCAGTCTTGTTGTTTGTTTTGCATAGCTGATGTTCATTACAGCACAGTGCACTGACAGCACCATATCAAAATCAAGTACTGTGATAATCTAGCTGCTTCTTAAAGGCTTCTTTTTTATTCCTGTGCAGCCAAGCAGCCCAGAAGACTATTACAGCTCCTTAGATGAAGATCTTAAGATTGAGGTGATTGAGAAGCTCTTTGCCATGGACACAGAGTCAAAGAACCAGTGCAACTCCCAGGTCAGAGGACAGTTGTATTTTCTTGCCCACAAGCGATGAAACAATTCTCCCATAACCAGTACTATGGATGATCATTCTATTGTAATACAGCACTTAATTCTCAATGCTGCTCACAGTTCCCATTCCTCAAGAAGATCCAGAGAGGGTCAGTGTAGCCAAGAAAGAGTATGGAGATGAATGGAAAGCGGGCAAGCTGCGAAGTTTGCTGATTGAGTGCATCTCCTCAAGATCCTGTGCCAGCAGGACTCCATCTGGAATTTAACGTTGCTCCTCCTAGGGGAGGTTATATGATGCAGGGGCTATAATGAGCTCTAGTTCTTTCAGCTACAGATTAAAAACTAGGTTAACACTTGAGGACTGATCTGTGCACAAATTGAGACAGGCACAGTGGAAATGATCCAAACTTCTCCAGTTGGAGCTGCCACTGCTAGAAGTAGAAATGCCTGCCATGAGGTCTGCTTGCTGCGCTCCAGTCAAATGGGTAAACCTAGGAGAGTACCGGAAAGATTTTCAAAAGCACATGCACAAAAAACGTTTATGCACATACAAATGCCTCCAACTTGCGACAGACAGCCCTTGGTTTGCACATGCACATACAGCCCTGGTGAGAGTGTGCAAGTGAATTTTAGACTTAACTACGAAGCAAATCTTTTCATTCATGTTTGTTTGGCATAGACCTGTATCGTTCAATGAAACAGTGAAAAATAGCTTTTCAAAACACTGATGGGCAACCAGGAAACATGCAACAAGGCGGGGACAGGGAAGTGCACACATCACATGTCACACACACCCCAGTGGCAAAATCAGAATAATCACTTTGGACTCAGTCTATTTCCTTCTCCTTTTGCTGGGTTCATAACTGATAAAAAAGCGACATGGAAATTGATTGAAAACTGCTTCCAAATAAAAGGCCTAAGACCTCTTTTTAGACTACTTCTCTCCATGCTTCGGTAGCAACTTTGTGAGCACAGACACTCCCTTTGTATACACCATAGTTAGGGGGAGGATTGTTATTTAAAGTGTTCTAGATAAGAAAAGGCACAGTCCCTGCCCTGGAGAGCTTACAGTCTAAGTTTTGACATAACAGAGCAGTGACAGCAACAGCGGATGGGTAGGGAAGGAGAGTGAAATGCCAGGCAGGCAAGGGGGAAGGAGGGCAAACATTGTGTGAGAACTGGAGCACAATAGAAATAATTGTTACCAGAAACAATTCAACATCAGTTTGCTCAGATGACTTCAAGGGCATATGAGACCTTTCTGCCCTGCTTGCAGCTCCTCCTGATGGTCATCTGAATCCTCCCGGTGGACCTGGGGCTTGTAAGGGCTAGATCTGGGACTGTGATGGAAATAGGAGGAGAGGGTGTTGCTGATGTGGGTGGATGGGAAGCTCTCTTCCTGCTTCTAGGTTGAGTTGCTTCTGCGTGGAAGATGCAACATTTAGATGCAGTCAGCACCCCAACTGAAAAAATATAGAAATGAATGTGTTAATGTCCTGCAAATGTGTTAATGTCCTGTGAACTGTGTTTAATAGGCTTTTTGTGGTTTTGATACACATTTTCTATGAAATTAGATAACTTATTTTCCATTAGTCAGGAGTGGTGTGAAGTTGAATTATGTGCCGCACTTAAGCATTGGCAGACAAGTTATTCAAAGCCCAGTGGAACATCTGCTCCAGTTCAACCCACATTGACCTCCCAAACTGCATTGGGGCATCAGCCTTCAGAAAGTGCTGTGCATATGGTAGCATGACTGGTGTAGCATGATTTTCAGTCTTGATTCCTGTTTCTTATCTGCCCTGCAACCTTATCCCTGGTGATATCAGAAACAAGTATATAATTCATGAAAACAGACATTTCAGTAAGGAAATTACACGCATTTTTAAATAAGGATCTGCCACTTTCAGTATTTCATTTAAGTAAATTCAGGTGACTCTTAGCTATACAGCAGGTATAATGATTCTTCAGTCTTACATTCACTGAAATGTCATCTTCCATGTACACATTAATTGCCATGTGCTTTTTATTATTATTATTTGTACAGACTGATTTCAATGAGCTGGATCTTGAAACCCTGGCTCCTTACATTCCCATGGATGGAGAAGATTTCCAGCTGAGTCCAATCTGCCAAGAAGAACGTCCTCTCCCTGAAAATGCACAAAACCAGCAAAGTTTAAGTAGCATGAGTACCATTTTCCAGCCCCTTGCTCCTGCCTCTCAGAATCAGTTCCTCTTGGAGAAATACTGCCAACAGATGTCAAATAAAAACATGAACACTGGTCATGGACCTCTGTCATCTGTGTCCTTCAACACCACGAACAAGTCCTCACTGCCACCATACCATGCGCGAGCCAGCACACCACTGGCTTCAATGGTTGGAAGACCAAGCACCCAGTGGCCACCTGATCCACCAGTACAGTATGTTCCTGCTAAGTGGAGACTAATGGATAAATACTGTGGGTCCTTAGCAAGTTCATCATCAGGGCCACCAGTGCACTCTCCCAACATGTCCTTATATAAGAAAAGGTAAATCTGTCCTAATATGCAAGCTGTTAGGTGTATCTCTCCTTGAGACTTCTGTGCTGCAAACCTTGAAAAAGTCTATTTGCCCATTCTGCTGGAATTATTTGTTTCAACAGAATGGAATATTAGGAGCCCAATTCTGCTGTCCTTTGAAGTGAACAGCTTTGCCCTTCCATTGACTTGAATGGGAGCAGAAGTGGGCTGATTTTCACCATTATCATCAGTGTACTGATGTGTGGATTTGTGAAAACGTACATGTCTATCACAAAACCAGAGAACAGTTTTGCAAAGCTGCTTTACTGACGCAAACAATGTCAGAAACAGATCTGTTAGGACATGGAGAAGGATGGCCCAGTGGTTACAGGGTAGCCAGAGAGCTGGATTCAGTTCCCTGCTCTGCCGCAGACTTCCTGTGTGACATTGGGCAAGCCTCTGAGCCTCCATTCCCCATTTGTAAAGTTGGAGGTAATAGCACTTCCCTACCTCATAGAGCTGGTGGGAGGGCAAAGACTTGAAAGATTGATGCACTCAGATACTACAGTCATGGGGGCCATATAAATACCATAGGTAAAGAGCTTCAGTAATAGTCTTAAGCATGTTGTTAAACAGAACTCATCCTTAAATTTCAGATTTTCAATACAGCTTATTTATATTTATTACTACTATCATGAGCATAGGGTAAGGACCAGGATAGAAGCACAGTGGTCCAGTTCAGACAGGTCACTTAACAACTTTGTGCATCAGATTCTGGATTTGTAACATGGAGATAAAAATACTGGCTGGTCTTCGTAAAGCTCTTTGGGACTCGCAGATGACAAGTGCTTTAAGTGCTTTAGGGTTGTTAATACTTTTAAAGATGTACAAAATGGTGGGTTTCATTTGCTAAAAACATTGTAACCATCTCAGGGGTGTGGGCACGTGCAGTTTTATACCTGCAGGATCAATTACTTGTATGCAGTTGCTAGCCTTTTTGGCTATGTGACCACAGAGCTAGATATTGGTCCACAAACACTAACATGTGGATCCATAATTGTGCCTGCAAAAATGGAGGGCAGGTTAATCCCTGTTAAAAATTTGACCTACTAAGTCATACAATTTTTGTTTCACAATCAAGGTTTTGCTTCTAGATTGTGAGGTAATGAATTACCAGGACTTTCATTAACACTTGATATTGAAAGTTCCCAAGCATTATGGCAATAAGAGTAGTGACAACTGGGTTAGCTGTCCAGGAAAAATTCTGCATTTGCAGTCTAGCCTGTCCCACCATCCTATGCCAAATGAACCTTAATGCTTTGAAAGATCAATCAGACCCAAATAGTTTATTTGCAAACTACTCACTCAAGGAAGGGTCTTTTCTTTACAGATCACTGGACAGTTTTGAGCAACGGGGCATAGATATAAACCCTGCAAGAATTGCTCTTGCCAACAGTTTGAAACTGAAGCGACAGATGGATTATGAAGATCAACCATTTCAACAGCTGAGTGGGGTAATCTGTTATAAGGAATTCAGACACTTCAAACAATGACCATTACAAAAGGGTTTTCATTTTTATTAGTTATGTCTATTTCTGGTTTCTTTATCCAACTGCAGGCGGATTTGTCAATGATGAACCCATCTCATTTAATGTGGAAAAGGATGAAAATTCTCAAAGGTGAAAATTGTTCATTGGTTACTGAAAAGAAGTCACTCAGCACAAGTGTCCTTACTGGTAAGACATAAATTGATTCTATAATGTTCATTTCTAGATATTATTTTAGGACCGTTTCACTAGAAACAAAGACTCTGTGCAGAAATTCTCATACCTGCCATTTTCATGCCAAAAGCAGAACTACCATAAACCAAACGTATAGACCAACAACTGTTAATGCAGTCAACAGTGCTCGGAGTTGGATTGTCCTGTAAAATGAAAGCTTATATATTGTTCTGGGGTTCTCTATTTCCCGGGGAGCCTGATGTGATAGTTCCACTATAGCTCAGATTTAGGGTCACTGTGGCCTTTTGGTATTTCCAGTAATTTCCACAGCATCAAAGTTTTCATTTAAAAAGTTTATACCTTCTGGTTGCAAAGATATTCTTCTAAATATGAACCACTGTTGTGCAGTAGGTCCAAGGCCACAGGAAGGCAGCCTAAAGTAAGTGTGATTTCTGTGTTAAGACATCAACTTAGTGTGAAGTATTAAAATTCCAATTCTTCTTCTCCCCACTTAGGACAGTCACAATAGAATGGTCTACTGTGTTATACAACCCATCCCCATATATGCAGTATCATTTATTCACAACTAGGTTAGGAGACTGTTTAGCCAGTCAATGGTTCTGAAGAAAGAACCCTCAAGTGCTGGTAACGATGAGTGATCAAAATAAACCCACTGTAGATTTCTGAATGAATTCTTATTAGGAAGAAACAAATAATTTAATCTACACACTGTGTATAAATAATTCAGTGAGCACATTAATCCTTTAAGTGAAAAAGATTGAATCTAGCCTCCGGGTCTTAAGCTCTCTCACAAAATGGCCACACTCATTTGGCACAGTGATGTAATCTCTGCTCCATGGAAGCTGTGACTGACTAACCAGTGAAGGTGGTCTGCCATAGCTTTGAAGCAATGTAGTAAAGTTTGCCAGCTATACTTTCATTACTATAGTCAAGGACTCTGGGGTGCTCAATCCCGGTACTTGTGCTCCCAGAAGATATGTTGGCACATTGTAACACAAAGGTCATTTTTAAAAACCAATTGTCACGTTTAATTTTAGATGAGTTTATTCGTAACTCACAGAAAGGTGTGAGCCAACCAATGAACCAACTGCAGCAGCGACAGCAGCAACTCTCCTGTGGAAGCCCTGGTGATAATCAGAAAGCAGCATTCTCCCCTCAGTTTTACAGTTCCCATTATCAGAACTTCAATGTTCAACCAACTCATAAAAAGTCAGGTAAGGGGCTATCACAGACAAATGAGAGAATAGTTTTGCTCTTTGGTTTCAATACAGATATGAGGACTGATGGCTTATAAAGGGGAGTGAGAGGACAATGAACTTCAGCCCAAATCTGTATAGTTCATATTATACTGAAGTGATGAAATTCTGAATATATATATATATAAGTTTATATCTAGTTTGACAGTTTGTGCATAAATCCCACAAATGTGTGTCTCTAGGCCATATCTTATGCACAAACTTACACAGTTCATATAAATTCAACTTAGTGTTTTGGTTTCTCTCTCTCTCTCTCTCTGAATATATGTGTGTGTACATTTAATATGAACATTTATATTGCACACACTATCAATCAAGTATTTCAATAGCACCCATCAGCACAGTCTCGACAGGAAGCCCCATGCATGTATGTACTTATATAAAATTCTTCCTCCCCAAAAATGAATTAGACGTGATCCAACCCAACAACTTTGCCCCCTGTGTGACGCTTAAGTTAAATGGAGATTGAACCAGGGAACTCTGGATGAACTGGCAGCTCAGAATCCTCCCATCAGATTGTAGCATAGAAGCTGCCAAAATAGCCATTAACCAGGCCTGATTTTAGTCAGTGCATCCACATTGTTGCAGACCCACTAGTCATGCACAAGCTCTCCCCTGCTAGCCTGTACCTTATTCCTCTTCTGTGTGGCCATGTAAGCCCCTGTGCAGTGGATCCATGGTGGTTCTGCTGCATTTAGAGCACTCCAATCCCAGAGAAGCAGGAGAGAAGGCTCTGACCCTTGAAAAGCATTAATTTTAAATATCCAAAGTTGAAAATCTAAATGGCCATGCATTGGCATCTGTATCCTTGAGAACCCATGAATGGATACTCTTCAAAATAAGTGTCCAAAGGCATAACTGTCAGTGGAAACCTATATAGATTTAGGCAAAGGGTAAGTAAGCCTCACGCATTCCTCTAAAATTATACCTCACTAACATCAGATAGAGTCATTTTTCCTTTAATAAGGACAGTTGTTTAGCAAATGTATTAAAATATATCGGCTAAAATAACAGGCTTACAATGCCTTGCTAGTGCATGCTTCACAGTTCAACAGGCACATTAAATGACATTATAGCAGTTCACTTTTCTGACTGTAATGAAAATCTTCCTAAACAAATTTAACAAGAATTTAAAAAAAAAAAATTCAACAGTGAGTGGAGAAAACTTGTCCACTATTGCCTTTTCCCAGCACCCAGTACTATCTTTGTCCTCCTTCTATCAAGTTATAGCTGAATTCTCTCCATTTCTTACTGTCCTTTCCTCCATATACTTGGACTTTGTAACTTTGATCTCAACAAAATCTGACGCCCACCATCAATCTTGGTAAATAAAGGAATAAAAGTTGAAATGACATAGCGCAACATTAAATATGATTATTGCAGTTCTTTTTCATAGTTATAAATGTAACAACTGTGTAACTTCAGAGTGATTTTATGTTTGGCAGCTTGTACATACATTTTTCCCTGCAACTGAAAGTATGAACAAACAGCTTACTACAACAACAGCACAATCACAGAAGTGAGTCATAGTTCAGCAGACGTAGGATTGACTTTATTTTATGGTCCTTTTTTTAAAAAAAATTAGATGAGGTACATGACTGTAATTGGTGCTAATTCAGAAAACTATGTGGTTTACTACAGGTTTCCTGTTTTGAACTAGAATGATTTCCCCTTTAAAAAAAAAATCTAAATGACAAGGAAAAGAAAACATGTTTCACTTCTAGCTAAAATTTCAACACGTAAGATTATTCTCAGTTTTAAATGTTGTTTGGCATATATAGATTTGAACTGGAAGATGTAATGCTGTTTTCAGGCGCCTGAATGTTATAGAATACCAAAGAAAGCTAAATGAGGGAAAAGTTAACCTTCCCCACTCTGTTTAGATAGGCATCATTCACTATTTTACACTTTTTCTTTAACACTCTATTTCAGGAGTGACAAGTCGTCTGCTTGGGCAGTCTTATGAACCCTATTTGTTGCCTGAATTGACCAGATATGACTGTGAGGTGAATGTCCCTGTTTTGGGCAGTTCTACACTTCTGCAAGGATGTGATTTGCTCAGAGCTCTTGACCAGGCAACCTGAGTAACCTTGCACTATTCCTTGGCCTATACTGTTCAAAACAGCTTCAGTTTTTAAATATATTTTTTCAAGTAGACAATTTCTAATACCCAATACACTTTTACAAGATTTTACTTATGTATTGAACTTGTCCACATTACCAAATAGTGGCCTTTTTGAAGTTACTCACTTTATTATTCTTATTAAAAATATACATCTACTGTATTTTTCTCTATTTCAATAAAAGTGTTCTTTAGAAAATGTATATTATTTCCCCTCCTGCCTGACTTGTAATTTATATTCTCTGACATTTTCTTCAGTATTCATGCTAACAAAACTGTGGTGTAAATGTCTCTCTAATACTTTGGCTCCAGTACTGCAAAGATTGATTTTTTATTGCCAAAGATAAATGAAAACAAACAAAAAAATCTGCTTTCCAACCACAGTTTGTGTTGATCTTCTAAATTAAAATGCTCCATGCCCCTATTGTGTTTGTACTCTCTATTTCCCAGCACTAATTATATTGTAAATTAACATCTTTGGGGAAAAAAATAAAAGACCTCACACTACCACTTTCTGACTCTCTCTCCCTAAATCAGATACTATTTGCTGAAAGAAATGTGAAGGATAAACTGCAGAGTTTGTGGGTATCTGCAAAAGTTGCACAGTGTAGCTTTGTTTCCCTAACATGGGCTAGATCCTCAGCTGCTGAAACTGGTGTTGCTCTATTGCTGTATAGAGAGCTACATTGTTGTATGCTAGCAGAGGCTCTGCACCTAGGTCTTCATCTGTGATGGGGTTTCATGGGATTTTTTTGGAGGGGGGGTATTTCTTTTCTTTTTTACACAAAATGTAACTGAATTTTTGAAATTTCTGTTTGGGTTATTATGTATTGGTACTTTTGTTATGGCTAAGACATAGAACCAGAACCATACTCACTTTTTAAGAGCTGTTTTTGGCTAGCGCTGGTAACATCATGATGGTGTTGCCAATATTGCAGGACTGTAAGGATTTGTCCAAAGGCCAGTACTAACACTGCTAATTACCAATTAAGTTGATCTTTTTTGTGAGTGCATTTTATATGCTAGATAGCAACATAATCCACACCTATGAAACATTAAAAATAAAAGTTAAAATAGTATTTCCCTTTGCCTACTTCCCTTTGCCTTTTACTGAGTTACCCTAGTAAAAATAAGATGTTAAGAGTGTTGGGCCGGGAGGGTTTTCTTTAGTATTTTAGCTTTCCTTGTATTGTTGATAGCCTTTCAAGTACACATAATCTTACAGTATGTCATTATAAGGCAATCGGACATCTTCAGAACCACCATAAAAACAACTCTTGTTATCATGAATTTATTTAAAGGGCAAGGATTCAGTTTTGTTCCCGGAAACCTCTTTGCCTTTGTTGGAAAATAAGAGTAATGGTATTGCTCTGTAAAGTCTAGATGTTCAGTGGAAAACCAAGAAAGGAAGGGCAAGGACCAAATCCCCGATAGCAGACATGTTAGGACAAACTATTTCCTCTTGCCCCTAAGCTAACAGATCCTCCACTGATGTAAATCAGTGCCAGTTTACACCAGCTGAAAATCTGGCCCTTAAAGTTGTCCCCAAACTCAAAGATATTCTACACAGACTTCCAGCTCCACTGAAGTCTATGTTCCATCAAATCCCTTTGTACTATGCACTAACATTTGCAGGTAGGGAGCATTGTGTCCATTGAGCACTTCAGAGCTCATTGTGTTTAAGTGATACTTAACCTTACAGACTTACACACTGAAAAAATAATTGAAAACCTTTTCTGTTGTTGGTACATTTAAAAAAAAGTTATTAGTGTCCCTCAGTACCTTTAAGAACTTTTTACCAAAAATAAGTTACTTTTAAAAGGAACCTATTGCTAAGTGAGAAAAAAAAACATTCAAAAGTATCTGATGATACTTAGCAAAGCAGCTTTGACAAATCTGCAGTGGTAATGACTTGAGTGCTTGAAGGGTTAATGACACTTAAATATTGCTCTTTTATTTTATTTTTGTTTGTGTAATTTCAGCATTAAAGGTTTTATACCGTAACAGTTTACTAGACACTCAAATATTCCATGCTTAATATTAACCAAACCTAGCATCATTATTTTATTATCTATATTTCTGAATTTTTATTGACAATATAATGACTGTATGGGAACTTTAACTTGATAAGGAAATGTATTTTGACACTGATACCTTATTAAAGTATACTGATCCTAAATTCTTTGTGACTCTTGTTTGCTATGAATTTGTCACTTGATGTATTATTGTAAAACAAAATATTTATTAAATTATTTATAGAAAATGAAGGTTTGCATTGATCTTTAAAAGCTTGAAAGAAGAACAAAAGCTACCCACATTTACAAACTAGAAAAGAATATTAGAGCAACATCAACCAAAGGCATAAAGACACGGTGTTGTATTATCAACCTTTCCTTTCATTAACTTCAACGGATCCTGGACCAGCCCTCAGCATGCGGAGGGTTAATTCCCATACCTTCAAACATATCATGCCATTTCAATAGGGACTGTTTTAAAACTTATGGTATAATATGACCCACTGAATTTAGAAAATCAATAGAAATTTGCCAGAGTGAGTACATGCAATAGTTTGATTTAACGAATACCGTAGATAATGATCTTAGACACGGAAGTGCCACTCACTGCATTTATTCTTTTATACTTTTATTCATTTATTCTCTTATACTTTTACCTTTGATTTGTAGTGTTTGACAACAGTAGTCAAGCCTATCGTACTGCTAGCAACCAGAGTGCCTCTATGAATCATGATTTTCCTAATAAATTCTTTTCTCCCACTGCCTTGGATGAAGTTTCTGTCTCAAATGTCAGGACCTTCATGCAAGCTCCCTCCCCAGGGTTTAGATTGGAATGCCAACAAGTATGTCAGCTCTTTTCCTAAGGTTTTTACCAAAGCACATCCATGGGCAGGCTATTCAAAGGCAGGAAATACCCTGGAGGAAAACTGATCACTGATGCAGAGCATCCGCAGTTCCAACGGAAGCCAATATGAGCTGCAAGTGCTTAGCAGTTCCAATCATTGTCTAACATGCAATATGTATAGTGCTCCTACAGAAGCACTGTACAAACATTAACAAACCATCACAGCAGCCTGTAGGATAGGGAGGTATTATTGACTCCATTTTACAGATAGGCAATCAGCCAGTGACTTGCCCTCACATAATCCCTGTTAGAAACTGTTCTTGCCAAGACATCCTCTTTCTCTCACCCCATGCCATTTCTCATGCTCCGCCCCCCCGCCCCCCCCAAATTGAAGAGCTCTGACTTTCTCGTGCAGGAGTGAAATCAGGAAGGCCAAATCACACTTGGAGTTGTAGCTAGCAAGGGATGTTAAGAGTAACAAGAAGAGTTTCTTCAGGTATGTTAGCAACAAGAAGAAAGTCAAGGAAAGTGTGGGCCCCTTACTGAATGAGGGAGGCAACCTAGTGACAGAGGATGTGGAAAAAGCTAATGTACTCAATGCTTTTTTTGCCTCTGTCTTCACGAACAAGGTCAACTCTCAGACTACTGCACTGGGCAGCACAGCATGGGAAGAAAGTGACCAGCCCTCTGTGGAGAAAGAAGTGGTTTGAGACTATTTAGAAAAGCTGAACGAGCACAAGTTCATGGGGCCGGATGTGCTGCATCCAAGGACGCTAAAGGAGTTGGCGGATGTGATTGCAGAGTCATTGGCCATTATCTTTGAAAACTCATGGCGATTGGGGGAGGTCCCGGATGACTGGAAAAAGGCTAATGTAGTGCCCATCTTTAAAAAAGGGAAGGAGGAGGATCCGGGGAACTCAGGCCAGTCAGCCTCACCTGAGTCCCTGGAAAAATCATGGAGCAGGTCCTCAAGGAATCAATTCTGAAGCACTTAGAGGAGAGGAAAGTGATCAGGAACAGTCAGCATGGAATCACCAAGGGCAAGTCATGCCTGACTAACCTAATTGCCTTCTATGCCGAGATAACTGGCTCTATGGATGAGGGGAAAGCATTGGATGTGTTATTCCTTGACTTTAGCAAAGCTTTTGATACGGTCTCCCACAGTATTCTTGCCAGCAAGTTAAAGAAATATGGGCTGGATGAATGGACTATAAGGTGGATAGAAAGCTAGCTAGATCGTTGGGCTCAATGGGTAGTGATCAATGGCTCCATGTCTAGTTGGCAGCCGGTATCAAGCGGAGTGCCCCAAGGGTCGGTCCTGGGGCCAGTTTTGTTCAATATCTTCATTAATGATCTAGAGAATAGCTTGGACTGCACCCTCCGCAAGTTTGCAAATGACACTAAACTGGAAGGAATAGTAGATATGCTGGAGGGTAGGGATAGGATACAGAGAGACCTAGACAAATTAGAGGATTGGGCCAAAAGAAATCTGGTGAGGTTCAACAAGGACAAGTGAAGAGTCCTGCACTTAGGAAGGAAGAATCCCATGCATTGCTACAGATGTGGGACCGAATGGCTAGGCAGCAGTTCTGCAGAAAAGGACCTAAGGGGTTAGGGTGGACAAGAAGCTGGATATGAGTCGACAGTGTGCCTTTGTTGCCAAGAAGGCTAATGGCATTTGGGGCTATATAAGTAAGGGCATTGCCAGCAGATCGAGGGACGTGATCATTCCCCTCTATTCGACATTGGTAAGGCCTCATCTGGAGTACTGTGTCCAGTTTTGGGCCCCACACTACAAGGAGGATGTGGAAAAATTGGAAAGAGTCCAGCGGAGGGCAACAAAAATGATTAGGGGGCTGGAGCACATGATTTATGAGGAGAGGCTGAGGGAATTGGGATTCTTTAGTCTGCAGAAGAGAAGAATAGGGGGGGATTTGATAACTGCTTTCAACTACCTGAAAGGGGGTTCCAAAGAGGATGGATCTAGACTGTTCTCAGTGGTACCAGATGACAGAACAAGGAGTAATGGTCTCAAGTTGCAGTGGGGGAGGTTTAGGTTGGATATTAGGAAAAACTTTTTCACTAGGAGGGTGGTGACGCACTGGAATGGGTTACCTAGGGAGGTGGTGGAATCTCCTTCTTTAGAGGTTTTTAAGGTCAGTCTTGAGAAAGCCCTGGCTGGGATGATTTAATTGGGGATTGGTCCTGCTTTGAGCAGGGGATTGGACTAGATGACTTCCAACCCTGATATTCTATGATATTTTATGATTCTTACACGAAGCATCCATCAGCCCCATGTTCAAATACCTAGTCCAAACCTGCTTCCTTTGCCTAGCTTTGTCACTTATGGACCATTGGGCCTTGCTGTTGTATCGGTGTGTATAAGATTATTCAGACATCTGACTCTGGGTGCATAAACCACAGTGAGCACCCAAGACACCAGCCAAAAGCAATACATGTTTTATATATAATAATGGCAACATCAACTATGGACCCAAAAGCAAGCCCCAACAAGAGAAGCTAATAGATTATTATTAAGGGTAAATTAACTTGAGAGCAGCAGATTTCTTCTTTTAACTATAATTGTATTTGTAGATGAATAAGGATTTCCTCACTGACCTCTCTTAGCTGATCAAGTAGCACATTAAGGACCAGGATATTAAGACTTCTTCCTTCTCCACTTAATTGGTCTTACTGAAAGCATTAAACAGCCCAAAGCAAGGCAAGGAAAAGTGAAAAAGCAAGTTTAATCAAATCTAACAAGAACTGGGGAAATATTTATAGATAACACAGTAAACCCAGGAGTTCACTAAACACATCTTAAAGCCAGATCATAGCTTCTTCCTAACCCATAACTTGAGAAGGCAGCTGGGAGCAGCCACTCTGGCTCTAGAAAGGGAAGCTGCAGGAACAAGCAAAGCCTTCCAAACTCCATCTGAAAAATGGTGGCTAGGTTTGGTGTCCGTCCCCCCAGAAAAAGCCACTGACGGCTACTGTTGTGCATGTGCACGTGTGGTGGGTACTAATCACAAAAGCTCAGTCTCCCGTGCCTAGACTCCATTAAACAATTGACTCATTAACTGTCATCACCACACTGAAATATCAACAGGTTACCACTGCTTTTCCCTGCTTATGCATGTTCCTGAACTAATGGTATGTTGCATCTCACAGTACGGCCAGGTCTCGACTACAAACTGCTGCCAGCATAGCTATGTCAGTCAGGGGTGTGAAGAGGTGTAAGTCCCTGACTGATACAACTGTGCTGGCAAAATCCCTAATGTAAACACACTTCTAGTTTATGCCAGTCCCTCCCCCTCTTATTTCCCCAGTGTGGACTCAGGTTTGCCCCTATGAACTGTGTCACCCTAGGAGTGCTTTGCCAGCGGCAGAGCGCTCCTAGTAAGAACTGGCCTAAGTCAAGATCATTTAACTACATCGCTCTAGCTTGCAACAAACCATTTTTATTTCTTTGGCCAATTGTGTCCACTTCAAGTAGTCAGGCACAGCTCCTGCAGCAGAAGAACTTGCTCAGCTGTTACGCTACCACCTGATTCAGAAGAACTAGCACTAGTTCCAGTATTCTTCCAGTATTCTATTACCATTATTTATAGTCTGGTAGCTCCCACAGGCATCAATCCTGGCTGAGGCCCCGGTGTACTAGGCACCGCATAAATACGTACGTAAATGTGGTCCCTGCCTGGTAGAGTTTACAGTCTCATTAAAGACACGTTGAACCAAGTGCCTGAGAACCAGGGGAAGAGATATCATGTGGTTACTCAGCCTAATGACTTGCAGACCTTGCGAGTTATAAAACAGTTAAAGTTGTCCTCTTTTAACTCATTTAAAAATTCCTCTGACAAACAGTAAATCCCTGTGCTCCCTTCCTAGGGACTCCTTAGTAGGTCACTTCAGCTGGGAAAGTCAGCGCTTGTGTGGGAAGAGGCAGCTGCAATTGGTGATGAGCCCTCAAAGTCCTGGGTTCCCAGGGCGGGGGGGGGGTGGTTGCTGCCCGCTAGTGTTGTGTTACCCTGCTTATACTGCTCCCTGAGCTCATGGGTTCCCATACAGAACATGAAAGGCTGAGTGAACATAAATGATGTCATATACTGGAAGAATTGGTTCGCTCTCTGTATTTTTGTACATCAGTGTCACTCCTTCAGCCCATACTGGAGAACATGGCACAATGGCTGAGGTAGCCCAGGTCAGAGGCATTCTTAGTGAGATAATGCCAATCTAATTCCTGGGCCTGTTGTATTTCATAATAGAATTAATCACCTTTCTGACTGAAGTTTCTTATCTATTTCTTGAAAGATCTTGTTT